GGGAAACCGGACGTAATCCTCGTCGTGGATTTCACTAAGTATGCAATAGATTGGAATCTTAAATACCGTGGTGATGCTCGTTCGAGCGTTCAATTTTCTGTTTGCATCAGCTGTGTCATCACGGGGATATTCTTCTCGGTTATTGCGGCGACCTCTACCCTAGTTTCTACGATTTGGACCACTGTCAGATTCCCCCGCGTGGTCATTTGAATGGTTCGTCTCCTGTTCGACAGCATGTATCTTGCCAACTACCCTTTTGTCTGTTGCCACCGGATTCGTCTTCGCGGTGGACGCCGCCACATCATGCTCTATTCAGATGTATTCATTGATACGTTGCATTAGTTGTCCCATGGAAGTCGGTTGATTCATCGTGAGTGAGTCCCTCAATCTATGTCCAACCGGGAGACCACGCTTATATTGGGTGATTGCCAGGTTGGTTGGGCAATCTAAGATCTCGTTGAAGGTTTCCCAGTACCTGACATTGTATGCCTTGAGGATGTCGCTCGACTCCATCTTGACGCTCAAAAGATGGTCCACTTTCTTTGGCGTTTTGGTGTTAGTTTTGAAACGAGTGACGAATGCTTCCGCCAACTGCTGCCACCTTGCAATGCTTTCTTCTGGAAGCCTCTCAAACCATTTCAAGCCCAGCTCGCCCAAACTTGATAGGAAAATAAGACACATGAGAGCATCATTACGCCTGTGTCTAGCCATGACCTGCTGAAAGTGGCTTACATCCATGTACGGATCGCTTTTCCTGTCATAAAGCGTAAGCTTCGGCTAATGAAAGCTCGCTGGGAGTGGTGTGGTCTCTATCTCAAGAGAGAAGGGGATGGCGCTCAGCCTTGCCAAGTCTTTGTCCTGCGGGACAGGCACGGCTAAACGAGGTGATGGCATCATGACCTCTTCGCTGGCGTGACCTCCGTAGATAACCGTTGAAGCGCCAGCAGCCTTTGAATCTCCCATCGGCGAGCTCGTTCCTTCAAGACATCCCTCAAGTCCTCTAAACGAATGGATTAGGAATATCTCGATGTTGTCGACGGATGTGAGGGATGGTAGGTATTATCTTGCACGCTAGACTTCTCTGCAAGCGTGTCTGAGTCTCCAACCCTGTAGCTTCTGGTGATGGAAAGGGAGGGCGTGTGCCGCTGGCTCTGGTTGCCTGAGTGGCGGAGTTGGGTGCGCTCACTGTGGTCTCCCACTCCAGCAGCACCTTTCCCTTTGACCTGCCGTTTGAGAGCTTCCATCTCTACCGTCATTCTCTAGATGAAGACGTCTTGGTCCGTCAACTTGTGCTCCAAGCGTCAGGCGTGCGACTCTCTTTGCTGCTGGTGTCCGTCTGGGCTCCGCGAGTGACCAAAGCTTCTGGCGCACCTATCACGTGCATCTCTTGGAAGACCTCTTGGGGAAGCCTCTAGGTCCACCATATTCGAAATGGCAGGAAGTCCGTCTCTCCGTCGGACTGACTCCGGGGTGACACCGTCGATGGCAGACAATGGCACTTCGTCGTTGTTCACCATGAAGAGTGATCCGACGAGCTTGGAAGGTAAGGTTGTGTCTACTCAAAACTTTCCACAGACGGCGCCAATTGTACGAGGGATAAGTATTCGATAACGCCCGTACTCCTTGCGTCCAAGTTCCGCTTCTATCCGATTGACCTGCGAACACAACAGCGGTGAGCTACCCGGCAATGTGTTACCGGAAAATCCCTTCGACGGTCAAGTTAGCACACACTCAGAGAGAGAGAGATAGAGAAAGAGAGAAGCTGGATTAATGTTAAAGTTTCTCTCACTAACTGATGTTCCATTGCAAACATGGGGGGCGTAGACATGCTTATATACCTTCTGCGCTTGCCTCTGCATCCATTTGCTGTCTAACGCATGGACCTGCTCTCCCGTTCCATTTCCCCACGTGTCAGCGCAAATTCAATTAACACCACCTAATCGAACCGCCAAACGGCATTGGCGCGAATGGGCAGCCCGGCGGCCCTAACCTGACCTCCTACGACCGTGTTACTATACGAGACAACCAGTGCTTTTTGCCGGGCTCCATTACAACCAAGCTCATGCTCGGTTGAATTGATCCGCGGAGGACTCACTCGCCGATCTAAACGTGCGACCGATGGAAACCGGGCTAACAGAGAATCATCTCGCCCGGATAAGGTCTGGAACTTCAACCAAGCAAACTTTCCCTGGCACGGCTTGGTCCAGCTCGGCCCAAACACACTCGGACCTCTTTCAACTTGGCCAAAACCGCGGCCCAAGGCGGGATTATGAAATCTCCCTCTCACTTTGATATTATTATTAAATCAATCCATTAAATCAAAAAAATCCAAAACTAAAAATATTTTATATATTAAAAGTCTAACAACCACCCATGACATGATCATCATCCAAACACATAATAAAATTTAATTGGGTAAAATAAATAAATAAATAAATGTGTAAAAAATTTATCAATTTTACATAATTTTATCTTTGGTGAGTAGAAAAAAATTTGAAAATTCCAAAATATTTTTTTAAAATTTATTTTTGTCAAATTAGTTTATATTTTATCAAATTGACAATTTTACCCTTGAAATTGAGCTATGATGTCTTCAATTGTTCTTATTTAGAACAAAATTTAAAATTTAGAGTCAAATATGTCATAATTAAAAAGTTAGGGACCAAAATGATACAAGTCTGAAACTATAGAAACAGTTAGTATAATTCACCCTAGATAATATAAGCCAAAGTATCTCTATAATTTAAATTACCAAAACAGAATCTGTGATTGACCTAGACCCGGACAACACTCTCCAATCTTTGGATTGGAAGGAAGCCGCCCATTACTTAATAGAATATTGGAGAAATTACAATTCAGTAATCTTTTGAAAAAATGTTTAGAATTTTAATTATGGAGAATTTAAAATTCAGTGTCAACCCTTTTTTTTTTTTTTTTGTAGAAACATAAAAAAATACTCCATTTTAATTATTAAGATTTATAAAGTTTATCACTGATTTATAAATTTTTTTTCAATACTTACACTCTGCAGTTATTTTATCTTTAATTATTAATATTTGTAATTGTAATTTTATTTTATTTTTTTAATTGTAATTTTCCTTGAAATATTTTGTTCTACGGTTGTAGGATTGAGAAACTGCAATTTGGTACAAAGGGCGGAAAGGTTACGGTGGTGGGGGCAATCCTGTGCGTCGCGGGAGCACTAACCATCAGCCTCTACAAGGGTAAAGCATTCTATATTGGACATCACGCCACACATCATCATGTGGTTATCCAAAAAGCTAAGCCCAACTGGACACGTGGCACTCTATTTCTGGTGTCTAGTTGCATATCCTGTGCTACGTGGTTCCTTGTCCAGGTATTGACTGACCGACCATTTTTTTTGTGTTCACAATCCATGATTCCATGCATCCAACGGCTAGGAATGTCACACTAAACTTTGGAGCAATTTATATAAGGGACGCAACTTAGGGATATGAGTTCATTTTGAATTTTTTTAAGTTGAGGTAAAATATTTTTAAATTCGGTATGAGTTTAGATAAAAATTTAGAAGATCAAATTAAATTTAAGCAGGTTTGAGTAAAGATATCAACCAATTTGAGTAATCCTAAACCCGAAATATATGGAAATATATAAAAATACATAAAAATTATTAGTTATTTGATGATATTATAGTAATTTAGATTATTAGATTATATTGAATATATATTATAAACACAAGTAACAGAATACAAAATCTTATGCTCCCTCCCCCCCCTCCCCTCTCCTCCCTTACTCAGAGGCAATTTGGTCCTAACTTGGGTTAGGCTTGGGCAAACAATCTTGAGTTACAATTCAGGCTTATACGAGCCTGGATAGCTCTCAACATAACTTGATCTGAACTTTGACAACCTTTTAATCGACTTGAACATGCCCGAATTGCTCCCTTACTAATAAATTTGTAAGAAGAAGCTTGTAATTCAGGCTTTTGGATCCAAACCGATGGGTGATTTCTTTCGTTTAAGGTGACTCGAATACCCATCTTTAGTTTATACAAACAAAAGTCAATTTTTTGGATATCAATTATTGAATGAAAATTTATAATTGAATAATTAATTTTTGTTCAAAAGTTAATGTCTGGACATTTGATTTTTATTCAAAAATTAATATCTGAATGACACAAATGCTTGCACTAAGAATTTATGTGGTTTGCGAATAGAATTAACTCCATAAGACACGTGTCTTGTGAGTCTTTGTAGGACAGTTTTTCTTGCTTTTTGAAATACAAATTGCTAAAATCCTTTTGATTGGATTAATTCTCCTATTTTTTGGGGGGTAAGTTACATTGACCACCAAAAAGATATAATAAGTTAACAATTTTGACATAATTATATCAATATCTCTTTTAATAAAATTAAAATAATCAAAATTAATGCAAAAAATAGGTAAATTTATCTAAAGGTTAAATAACTATCAAGTATAGAAGAAAATGATAACAAATACACTTTATATATTTTGATACTAAGAGGAAATATTATTTTATCTCTCAAATTATCACTTAAAAATCAATTCAATTCCATTTCTTTTAATAATATCAATTTTACACCTAAACTATTTAATTTCATCAGTTTTACCCAGTTTTACCCCTATTGTTAGCTGCCATTTATAATCAAACAAAAGTTGCTAATGTAGTAGTGAAATTTCATTTTACCTTCCAAATTATCTCTACAATATCAATTAGATCACAAAATTTCATTTTATTCAGGGATCAAATTGATATGTTGGGAATAGTTTTGGGGTAAATGAAATTTCAAATAAAGTTTGGGTGCCATATTAACAACTTCTATTAATTATTGATGGCAACTGACATTGAGTGTAAAATTGATACAAAATTAAATAGTTTAACTATAAAATTGATATTATTAAAAGAACATGAGTTTTATTGATTTTTGAGTAATAATATAGGATGTAAAATAATATTTTCTCTCATACAAAAAAAGGAGAAAAAAAAAATCATATACTTACCATTTAGCCACAATTTTTTTATTATTTATTGTGTGTAAACATATGTAGATGGTCTCAAAATAAGAGTTCACTTAAAGGCCCAAAAGATTCAGGACCATACTCATAATTAAAGAAAATATATATGAAATATTAGAGTAGATGAGTAGACAGTTTCCTAGAGATTAAAGGAGGTATTAATTATTAAACACCACAATAATCTGTGAGAGAACACTTAGGGTTCTTTGCCACCTCTTGAATCCAATATTTAAGAAATCCAAGGTTGGAAAAGGGCTTGAACAACAAGGGATGTTCGTCATCAACAAGCTTGTCTGGTGGCTGCACCATGCCTTTCATGTACGAGAGAAGCGCCGCAGAGTAGTTTACTTCTTCTTTCCCATTCTCTTGGGGTGGCGTGGTGGTGATGATACCATGAACATGAGATGGACAATGTATCCTGCCATTGCTCCATGCCTTCGCCACCCAAAAACAAAAAAACAAAAAAAACAAAGAAGCAAAATATTAAAATATCAAATTTGAAAGTGTAACAAAAAATAAAAATCGCGATAATGCAATAAATATTCCATAGGAAAGTTAATTTAGAAGAAAACTACCGATAGTGAGTGAATTCGTGTTTTGGAACAAAGACAACGAAAATTTCAGAAACATTTTGTAGTTTTTATTTTTGAGTGAAAATAGTGTTTGATAATTAAGAAAATAATTTAAAATATTTACTAAGTTTTTGTTTTTTTAAAGCATTTTATCTGAAAACAAACTAAGGTTACCGTATCATTTCTAAATAAAAATTTTAAGAAAAAATTAACAGTGTATTTTTTTTTTTTGAAACGAGAAAAAATGATGTTCTGAGGTGTCATCACTGCATTTATGGGCTTAGGTCTCGGGATAACCGGTTATCGACCTAATTTAACCTAACTTATAAGAAGAGACCTACCATTAAGGCACCAATGAAACTCAGCTATAAACTTCAGAAGAAGTCAGGTGTTAATCAGAGTACAATACAAAATTAACAGTGTACTATGACAAAGGAATTAGGTACAATAAAATGCATCCAATCAAATCTAAATGATCTATTCTTGGACTTATTATCTTACAGTTTGAGGGATTGGAGGAACCAAGTCGGAAAGTACCCTCAAAATAGTCACCTTATCAAAGTTTTATTTGTAAAGTTTTAAATCTTTTTTTTTTTTCTTTTTTTTTTTCTTTCAATATTTGAGACCTAAGAAGAAAGAAAGCTCCCCTCATCTAGTTAAAGAAAACTATTGTGCTTAGTTTCTTTTATTGGTATTAACAGCTACTCTAGGAGAAATGTTTTCATTCATATTGTCTTTCTTGACATGGAAATCTAAAGAAATATGGAAATAAATTAAGTCCAATTGGATTTGAACCTATACCAAAGGTTTAGAAGATGGTTTTAGTTTCCCAGAATGTATCTGAGCTTTTGGCCTATTTCTTCTTTTGATGATCGATTCAACCTTTGATCAAAATGATATACCTTGGTTACGTTTGATCTCTTTAACTAGTTTAGGGGAAAGCAACATAAATAGGCACTCAACATTTTAGTTTTCTTTACTTTTCTCTGAGTTCATAAACAACTGTGTAAAGTATAACAAATTGCATGCATTTCATGCGTCTCATTATAAACAAGAATCACCTGCATCCCTGCAAACCAAACTCTATATGGAACTGTTGTTTTCAGTCCTAATTCTTCTGCCAATCCACGAACCAATGTTCGACTTCCAGTCAATGGGACAACAGAATCTTGATCTCCACTGTGATTTAAACCAAGTACAAAGTCAATTAAAATAATATACAAAGAATATTAAGCCTAAATTTGATATGGCCATGGAGACTTTGGAGGTTGGAGGCAATACCTGTAAACCAAGACAGGGATTCCAGCCTTGATGAGTTTTCCCACAATAGAGATTGTTGGGATCTCCAGGTCAAGAAACTCATAATCCAAGACACTGTTATCCAAGGATTAAAATATATATATTATGAGTGATTTGACCAAACAGAAGACCATAAAACTAGAAATAAATTGACATTTGTACTAAAACAAGAAATAAATAGATGAAGTTATATACAATGATTTCTGAAGGAAATGATTTTTTGAAATCCTATTTGAGTTAAATTTTTTAAGACACAACTCAAGAAAACTTCTAAACTCCGTGTTTTTTTTTTTTTTTTTTTTTTTAAAAAAAAAAAA